CCGTTTACCGAAAACCTATGCACAGTGGCATGTACATTCACTACTTTTCCTATCATGTTTCCCCTGTCAAGAAAAGTGTTCTTATCTCCCTCTTTCTCCGTGCCCTCCACATCTGTGATCCTCAGTTCCTTCCAGCAGAAATTTCCACTCTTCATAATTCGTTTTCCCGTCTTGGCTACCCTTCCCATTTCATAGACTCTGCCCTCTCACGTGCTAAACACAATTTCTTCTCTCCCAAACTCTCTACTCCTGGGAACTCTTCTATCCTCTGCCTTCCCTACATTTCCGGTCTTTCTAATCTCAACAATTCTCTCCGTCCCTTAGACATCAAGCTTACTTTCCGCCAGACTAACACTCTTCGCACTAATCTCGCTCATACCACTCCTCCCTCTACAGATGTTCCTGGTGTCTACTCTATTTCTTGCTCCTCCTGTCCTCTTTAATACTTCGGAGAAACTGGTCGATCTCTTTCTGACAGACTTAGGAAGCACAAAAATAGTGTTAGGCTTGCCGACACTAACAATGCTCTTTTCTGTCACGTCAGAGATCATAGCCATCCTACTGACTGGTCTTCTGCTAAAACTGTCTTCCCTACTTCCAACTCGAACAGTCGCCGTCTAGTTGAATCCTCTCTAATACACAACTTTCCTTGTATGAACCTTAGCCCTGGCTTCGTCTCTGTAGATACCTTCCTCTCCCACTACATTATAAAATGCTCCAACTTCAGAACACCCCTGACTTAACCTGACTCCTAATTTTTACTTTTTCTTTTTCTTCTTCTCCCTCTTCCCCTTTCTCCTCTGGGTTGTCTTCTCTCTTCTGTCTCGTGTTTCTGTTCCTCCTTCATTTATTTCACCACTTCCCCTTTCACGCACCTCTGTGCGCTTGCTCTCCCTCAGTGGCACCTAGCTCTCTTGCAGTGCTCCCTTCCTTTGTATTTGACTGGCTCGTCCTCCTTATTTCCCACTTCTACCACTACCACTACTACTACCTCTTCTACTACTACAACTACTGATGAAATTAAGGCACATGTGCGGTGTCTGGTTGTCTTTGTTGTGGACATTTCGCCATCCAGTGGCTGGCTGGATGGCGAAACGTCTACGATAGGGATGCCCGGGTGTTGCGCATGCGTCTTAATTTCATCTTGTTGGCATTATATACCATTCTTGTACTACTACTACTACTACTACTACCACCACCACCTCTTCCTGCCTATATATAGCCGTCCTGCTCCACTTCTGGTTAGTGTGACTTTGTCAATGGTCCAAGTCAGACCGAAACGTCGTCGTAAGCTTCTCTCTTTTATGTGCGGGTTATTTGAGTAGTAGGAAGAAAGTAGGAGAAACTTTTAGAGAGGGTGTGGTAGGTAAGTTTGGGGTGCCAGGTGTAAATGAGAAGGGGAGCCCTTTGATTGAACTTTGTATAGAAAGGGGTTTAGTTATAGGTGACACATATTTTAAGAAAAAGAGGATAAATAAGTATACAAGATATGATGAAGGGCAAAATGACAGTAGTTTGTTGGATTATGTATTGGTAGATAAAAGACTGTTGAGTAGACTTCAGGATGTACATGTTTATAGAGGGGCCACAGATATATCAGATCACTTTCTAGTTGTAGCTACACTGAGAGTAAAAGGTAGATGGGATACAAGGAGAATAGAAGCATCAGGGAAGAGAGAGGTGAAAGTTTATAAACTAAAAGAGGAGGCAGTTAGGGTAAGATATAAACAGCTATTGGAGGATAGATGGGCTAATGAGAGCATAGGCAATGGGGTTGAAGAGGTATGGGGTAGGTTTAAAAATGTAGTGTTAGAGTGTTCAGCAGAAGTTTGTGGCCCGGTGGTCTGGTGGCTAAAGTTCCCGCTTCACACACGGAGGGCCCGGGTTCGATTCCCGGCGGGTGGAAATTCCGACACGTTTCCTTACACCTATTGTCCTGTTCACCTAGCAGCAAATAGGAACCTGGGTGTTAGTCGACTGGTGTGGGTCGCATCCTGGGGGACAAGATTAAGGACCCCAATGGAAATAAGTTAGACAGTCCTCGATGACGCACTGACTTTCTTGGGTTATCCTGGGTGGCTAACCCTCCGGGGTTAAAAATCGGAACGAAATCTTATCTTATCTTACAGGAAAGTGGGTGCGTGAGGGGAGAGGAGCGATTGGTGGAATGATGATGTAAAGAGAGTAGTAAGGGAGAAAAAGTTAGCATATGAGAAGTTTTTACAAAGTAGAAGAGATGCAAGGAGGGAAGAGTATATGGAGAAAAAGAGAAAGGTTAAGAGAGTGGTGAAGCAATGTAAAAAGAGAGCAAATGAGAGAGTGGGTGAGATGTTATCAACAAATTTTGTTGAAAATAAGAAAAAGTTTTGGAGTGAGATTAACAAGTTAAGAAAGCCTAGAGAACTAATGGATTTGTCAGTTAAAATAGGAGAGGAGAGTTATTAAATGGAGAGTTAGAGGTATTGGGAAGATGGAGGGAATATTTTGAGGAATTGTTAAATGTTGATGAAGATAGGGAAGCTGTGATTTCGTGTATAGGACAAGGAGGAATAACATCTTGTAGGAGTGAGGAAGAGCCAGTTGTGAGTGTGGGGGAAGTTCGTGAGGCAGTAGGTAAAATGAAAGGGGGTAAGGCAGCCGGGATTGATGGGATAAAGATAGAAATGTTAAAAGCAGGTGGGGATATAGTTCTGGAGTGGTTGGTGCAATTATTTAATAAATGTATGGAAGAGGATAAGGTACCTAGGGATAGGCAGAGAGCATGCATAGTTCCTTTGTATAAAGGCAAAGGGGATAAAAGAGAGTGCAAAAATTATAAGGGGATAAGTCTGCTGAGTATACCTGGTAAAATGTATGGTAGAGTTACTATTGAAAGAATTAAGAGTAAGACAGAGAATAGGATAGCAGATGAACAAGGATGCTTTAGGAAAGGTAGGGGGTGTGTGGACCAGGTGTTTACAGTGAAACATATAAGTGAACAGTATTTAGATAAGGCTAAAGAGGTCTTTGTGGCATTTATGGATTTGGAAAAGGCATATGACAGGGTGGATAGGGGGGCAATGTGGCAGATGTTGCAAGTGTATGGTGTAGGAGGTAGGTTACTGAAAGCAGTGAAGAGTTTTTACGAGGATAGTGAGGCTCAAGTTAGAGTATGTAGGAAAGAGGGAAATTTTTTCCCAGTAAAAGTAGGCCTTAGACAAGGATGTGTGATGTCACCGTGGTTGTTTAATATATTTATAGATGGGGTTGTAAGAGAAGTAAATGCGAGGGTCTTGGCAAGAGGCGTGAAGTTAAAACATAAAGAATCACACACAAACTGGGAGTTGTCACAGCTGCTCTTTGCTGATGACACTGTGCTCTTGGGAGATTCTGAAGAGAAGTTGCAGAGATTGGTGGATGAATTTGGTAGGGTGTGCAAAAGAAGAAAATTAAAGGTGAATACAGGAAAGAGTAAGGTTATGAGGATAACAAAAAGATTAGGTGATGAAAGATTGAATATCAGATTGGAGGGAGAGAGTATGGAGGAGGTGAATGTATTCAGATATTTGGGAGTGGACGTGTCAGCGGATGGGTCTATGAAAGATGAGGTGAATCATAGAATTGATGAGGGGAAAAGAGTGAGTGGTGCACTTAGGAGTCTGTGGAGACAAAGAACTTTGTCCTTGGAGGCAAAGAGGGGAATGTATGAGAGTATAGTTTTACCAACGCTCTTATATGGGTGTGAAGCATGGGTGATGAATGTTGCAGCGAGGAGAAGGCTGGAGGCAGTGGAGATGTCATGTCTGAGGGCAATGTGTGGTGTGAATATAATGCAGAGAATTCGTAGTTTGGAAGTTAGGAGGAGGTGCGGGATTACTAAAACTGTTGTCCAGAGGGTTGAGGAAGGGTTGTTGAGGTGGTTTGGATATGTAGAGAGAATGGAGCGAAACAGAATGACTTCAAGAGTGTATCAGTCTGTAGTGGAAGGAAGGCGGGGTAGGGGTCGGCCTAGGAAAGGTTGGAGAGAGGGGGTAAAGGAGGTTTTGTGTGCGAGGGGCTTGGACTTCCAGCAGGCATGCGTGAGCGTGTTTGATAGGAGTGAATGGAGACAAATGGTTTTTAATACTTGACGTGCTGTTGGAGTGTGAGCAAAGTAACATTTATGAAGGGGTTCAGGGAAACCGGCAGGCCGGACTTGAGTCCTGGAGATGGGAAGTACAGTGCCTGCACTCTGAAGGAGGGGTGTTAATGTTGCAGTTTAAAAACTGTAGTGTAAAGCACCCTTCTGGCAAGACAGTGATGGAGTGAATGATGGTGAAAGTTTTTCTTTTTCGGGCCACCCTGCCTTGGTGGGAATCGGCCAGTGTGATAATAAAAAAAAAAAAAAATATTTGTGTATCGTTCCGGTCACGGTATTGTGCCTTTTTTGTTATTTTTGGTATAACTATTTATGACAAAACAATAACAGTTATGTAAATAAGGACAACGTACAAGCCAATGATAAGAGTAATTATAACACAAATACTGTAAAGTAAAACATAAGTTAAGCACATATGAACAATGCAAGGAAAAAATTACAGTGATCTAGTAAATGGATATAAAAACAAAAGACTATCTCTAATGAACAAGATGGTAGTAATAACAACTCTTGTAACTGTAACAACACTGGAACAATGTTACAGTGACAGCAACAATTCTTATAACTGTAACAACACTGGAACAATGTTACAGTGACAGCAACAATTCTTATAACTGTAACAACACTGGAACAATTGTTACAGTGACAGCAACAATTCTTATAACTGTAACAACACTGGAACAATGTTACAGCGACAGCAACAATTCTTATAACTGTAACAACACTGGAACAATGTTACAGTGACAGCAACAATTCTTATAACTGTAACAACACTGGAACAATGTTACAGTGACAGCAACAATTCTTATAACTGTAACAACACTGGAACAATGTTACAGTGACAGCAACAATTCTTATAACTGTAACAACACTCAACACTCACTCAAACAATGCTATGGTGGCAAACAAATCTTGAGGCATCTGTTGGTCTTTTGTTGATTTTCCATCAGTTTTGGATCCAGCATTGTTTGCATCTGAAATAGAAAATGAAGTGAAAGCTAAGGGTTCTACACTTTATTTAGAATAAAACTAAAATGTATTCATGAATTAAAGAAATGACTCATTTTCATGATGAAGCTGAAGTAAATAACTTTCTACAAGGCAGTACATACTGTATTAACATTTTGAAATATTCTCTTACAGGTCCAGTGAGACTAAATTTCAACATCTAATAACTTAACCCTTTCACCATCCAGATCCCAAATATTATGCTCTCAGTGCCCACATACAAAAAAATTCTTTTGAAATGGTAGAGAATTTTTTCTGAAGATAATGATCAGCCCAAAGTGCAAAATTACACAGGTGCAAAGTTAGCAGTCTTGCTGTAATTTACTCGTTGGTGATTTTACCGACTTTAGTCCTATTTTAACCCTTTCAGGGTCCAGAGGTCAAATTTCAAAGGGCGCACCAGTGTCCAAGAATTTTCAAAAAATAATTTTATTTTTTCTTATGAAATGGTAGAGAATCTTTTTCTGAAGGAAATAAAACAAAAAGTACAAAATTTGATGGAAAACTGACAAAATTATGCTCTCGCGAATTTTGATGTGTCGGCAATATTTATGCATCAGCGATTTTGTGGACTTTGACTCCCATTTTAGGCCAATTACCTTATTCCAGTCAACCAAATTCTTACCTATTTCACTAGTATTACTTCTATTCTATCGACTGAGCACAAGAATTCGCCAATTCAACTGTTTCAATTACAAAATAGAGTGATCGAAAATTGGTAATTTGGCCAATTTAATGCAAAGTTCAAAATACTCCAATTTCAAAATAGGGTCCAGAATAAACAATGCAGGCATTCCTGACACTAAACTAACATTTCCTCTGTTCATTAGTTACGTTTTCAGGCTTTACTAATGAATTCCATTTTGACTTTTTATTCACATAAGGAACTTTTATTCAAACCAAAAAATAGAAGATTTACTGTTATGCAATATTGTAATAATTGTATAAATAATATCAGCACATTTGTGAACATATATTAGACCCACCAGCTGGCGTGTATTAGACGTGTGAGGTCATTTGTTTACTCATGAACATCGGCAAAAATTTAACATTTCTGCTAATTTGAGCTCAGTTTCAAGCCATTTCCAATACTAAAACCAATCAAAATCATCCTATTTCTTTAAGATATCTTCCATTCTATCAAATGAGACCAAGAAATCGCAAATACAACTATATAAAAACATACGAAAAAACACTGCAGTCGCTGTTTTAATAAAAAATTACAGTCTCAGTTTTTTTATCTCATTATGCACTATGTGCTGCAGGATTTGTTTTATGTGGTGCACATATACCACATAGATGTATTCTCTCATATCAAGGCCAAAATTTACCACTCAGAGCTTATCAGTGAGGAGCTCATGACGTAGATCTATGGTTTGGACAATTCCATTGCTCCAGTTGACAAATATTAGCTATTTTGTTAGTATGCATTCCATTCTATTGATTGAGCATAATAAACCCATCAATCCCAGCTGCTTTACCCCCTTTCATTTTTACCCACAGCTTCACACACTTTCCTCACACTCACATCTGGCTCTTCCTCAATCCTTAAAGATGTTATACCTCCCTGGCCAATGCATGAAATCATTATCTCCCTCTCTTCATCAACATTTAACAGCTCCTCAAATATTCCCTCCATTTTCCTAATGCCTCCAACTCCCCACTCCTGTTTTTAACTATTAAATTCATTCATTTCCTAGGCTTTCTCTAACTTTCAATCTTAATCCCAAACTTTTTCTTATTCTCAGCTAAATTTGTTTACAGAACCTCCCCACTCATTTGCTCTCCTTTTATACTCCCAAACCTCTTTTACTCTCCATATACTCCACCCTTATTATATAATTTCTGCTTTGTAAAAGCCTCCCATATGCTAACTTTTACTTTATAACTGCTCCCTATCTCATCATTCCACTGATCACTCCTCTTCCCTTCTGCACTCACCCTCCTACGTCCACAAACTTTTGCTTCTACTTTAACACTACATTCTTAAATACCCCGTACCTCTTCAACCTCATTACCTACACTCTCACTAGCCCATCTTTCTCCCAACAGTTGCTTATATCTTACCCTATCTCCTCCTTCAGTTAAAAAACTCTCACCATTCTCTTACTGATGCTATTTTCCTTGTACCCCATCTACCTCCTACTCTCATTGTAATTACAACTAAATAATGATCTGATATATCTATTGCCCCTCTAAAAACATGCACATTCAGAAGTCTTCCCATCAACTTTTTATCTACCAATACATAGTCCAACAAACTGTTGTCATTATGACCAATATCAAATCTTGTTTACATATCCTCTTTTTTTTCTTAAAATACATGTTACCTATTATCAAACCTCTTTATACACAGAGTACAACTAAGGTCCTCCTATATTTATTTACCCCTGTCACCTCAAACTCATATACTATGTCCTCTACAACAATTTCTCCCACTGCAGCATTTAGGTCCCCCCCACACACATGCACACACTTACTCTCTTATGGTTCAAAACTTCCTAAGCCCTTGCTTAACATCTCCCCAGATTTCTCTATTTCTCCTCTACACTCCTCTCTTCCACAGGTGCATATGCACTTAGTATAACCCACTTTTTATAATCAACTCTTATTTTAATTCATATAATCCTTGAATTTATACATTTGTTTTCCTCATTTTCTTCCATAGCTGATTCTTCACATTATTGTTACTCCTTCCTTAGCTCTAAACTCTTTCAGATACAAATGACCCAATCCCATTTATTTCTTCCCATGAAACTCTCCTACCCCCTTCAGCTTTTGTTTAGCTTAGAGCCAGGACATACACTTCTTTTCATTCATAACATCACAATAATGTCTTATCATCTGCCTAATCCATACACATTTTTAAACATTGCAGCTATATAAAGTTTTTCTTTGTTTTAATTTAATAATTAATAGAGGAGGAGGAGTTACTAGCTCCTTGCTCCTGGCATTTTAGTTGCCTCTTATGTCACACATGACTTACGGGGGAAGGGTTCATCTCCACTTTCCATGGAGATGGAAGGAAATCGATACTAACAAGAACTATTAAGAAAATAGAAGAAAAACTCAACTGTGTGTGTGTATACTTATATGTATACATGCATGTGTAGTTAACCTAAAGAGGAGGAGCAAGATGTACCTGTAATCTTATATGTTTGTGAGATATAAAAGACACTAGCAATCTTATGAGAATTATGGTAAAAAAAAAAAAAAAACATTGAAGTACTCTATGTTATACCTGAAATAGTGATGTACCCATAATTTACATTTACATTGCAATAAATATTGAAATTAAAGAAATTAGAGGTGAAATTTACACAGCAGATTTTCCCCATTATTTTATAAGTTTGGTATACCGAGGTTTGTCATAACAAGGGTTTACTGTACAGTGCACCACAGTTATAATTAATTGGAATATTGGCTGTGTTTGTAATAACTCTGGATTAAAACTGGAGTACTTCTCCTTCCCCAGTCACTTTATGACCCATATGCCTTGAGCAATCCCTCAATAACATCATAATAATACCATAGGAATGCAATATTTTCTTTTCTTTTGCTGCTTTCCAAGCTGACACTGATTTGTGCTGTCTAGTGCTTTCAGTAGTAGTTGTGTTTAGGTACTTATAACATGCATTAACAACTATCCTAGATACACTAACAGAAGAGAGAAAAATTTACAACCAAAGAAGACAATGTCAACTAATACCACCACCCCAGCTAAGTAACGGGGAAGGGGGGGTGTGAGGGCATGTACTTCATGTTTGCTCACACACTCCTCCTTTCCCTCACACTCCAACACTTCACCCACCACAAAACGATTTATCTGTATTTTCATTTTTTTATACAGAAGGGGCAATAATCAGCATTTAGTGATGTAAAATGTGTCATCACCAATTTCCACCCTAATTACATCACCCCCCATTTCTTACACACTACCTTCATTAATATTTTTTTCCCTTTTTTGTTAATTTATAAAAGGGGTATAAAATATTAACAATATGCTTTTTTTCCAGCATTTAACTAGTGGCCCGCAACGAGCAAGCATCTGCTCCAAAATTTTTGTCAAATCAACAAACCCAAAAGTATTTAACTTTTTTAATGCCACTTAGTTTACAAAACTTTTTTCCTAGCCGAGGTCTTTTTAAACCCCATTCCTAAGGTATACTATTACCCTGCAAAGCCATCTACAACAGTAAACAATACCATGTACCTATTTAACTAACGCAAGGTGAACAGAGGAAAAGGTGAAAAGGGAAACATACCCAGCACTCAACCATAGGGGGATGAATCCATTCATTTGGGTTTTCCCAGCCACTCAAAGTTTTTAAAAAACCCTTTTGGGGGTCCGTCCCGTAATCAACGGCTTTAACGTTAAAACCCCCAAACTAGATCTACGCATGAGCTCGCTCACTCGATAAACGGAGTGGTACATTTTTGGGCCCAATAGAGAGAATACATCTATTGGGAGTTCACCACATAAAAAAGTTCCCCCGCGAACGCGGTAAATGAAAAAAAAATTTAAATCAAAGATTTTTGATTAAAAAAGCCTTTGCGTGTTTTTTTTTTGTAAATTTTTTTTAAACCTTTTGCAATTTCTTGGTCTCATTTGATAGAAGGAATCAATTACGAAATATAGATTTTTGATTGGTTTTAGCACTGGGAAAAGGGTTAAACAGCTTTAAAATACAGAAAAGTAAATTTTGCTGATATTTTAAGATAAAACAAACACCCAAAACGTCTAAATACTTTTCCACTGGTGGGTCAAAAATGCATTCACAAATATGGAATGATATTTATACAATTATTACAGTATTCATAACATAAATCTTCAAATTTTTTTGGGGGAAAAAAAATTAATTTGAATAAAAAAATCAAAAAAGGAATTTATTTGTAAAGCCCCAAAAAATAAATAATAAAAGGGAAAAATTTGTTTAGTTTCCCGGGGAATATACTTTTTTTTTGGATAAATTGGGAAAAATTGGAATTTTTGTTTTTTTTTGAAAATTAAAATTGAAATTTTTTTTGTATTGGGAAAAGTTGATTTGGGATTTTTTTGTAATGTAGTGGTTTAAATTTGTGTGTAAAATTGGTTTTTGGAATTGTAATTTGGGGGTAAAATGGAGTAAGTTTTAAAAATGTATTGAATTGTAATAAAAATTTTGGAGAGATAAAATTTGTAATTTTATAAATTTGGTTTTTTTTGTTTTTGCCCCACAAAAAGAAATTTCCAACCATTTAAGAAAAAATAAACATTTTTTTTTTTTTAAATTCTTGGACACTGGGGCACCACTTCAGATATGGGCCTGTGGACCCTGAAGGGTCACTGAAATTAACAAATGAGTAATGTAGATGGCATGGTGTGATGAAAACATTTGCAAGGTGAAAATGATCAACCTGAACAAGAGGACAATGGGACAAACATTGCCACATGTTGAGCAATTTAAAAATCTGAACATTTACCCATTTTCTGTCTCACATTTTAACAAGTTTTTGAGCATTTAATAATCACATGGCTACACTTCTGAGACAGTGTTACCATTATTACAAAAATGCTGTTGCAAATGTGCTTTTTATATGAATCTACATTGCCTAAGAGTGAGGCTCTATCCAGCCTTCTCTTCAGAGAAGGGCATAGTACTCACCTATGTACGTACAGTGGACCCCCGCATAACAATCAGCTCCCGACTCGACCAATTATGTAAGTGTATTTTTGTAAGTGCTTTTGTAGGTGTATTTTTAGGGGTCTGAACGGACTAATCTAATTTCACAATATTTCTTATGGGAACAAATTGGGTCTATAACGGCACTCAAACAGACTTCGGGATTGAAATAATATCGTTATGGGCGGGGTCCACTGTATTTGTAAAGTCTCTGCTCCTCACCTACGACTACTACTACAAAAGTTGCTTAAATTCTCTACAATGTTTTCCTACATTCAACAGTTCTGAAGTGAGTATTTTCTCTCCCGTTCACTGTTATGGTTATAAGTGTACTGTATCTATCTATCATATCAGAGGGGATCAGTTTTCTTCCAGAGAGCTGTCACTCATCTTATTCATAATATAATATGGCTAATCAAAAAAACTTAGGGTTCAAACTATGTTGAATAAACAAGTTGTGACTATAGTCTGATATAAAACCACCAAGATTTTATTAACAACTTTGTATTAGACCTGACTTTAGCTTCCAAAATTGCAAAATTCTGACCACTTTATTGGATAGTTGAAATTGGTAAATGGGTGGTTTCTTGTACTCATTCGATAGAAAAAATGGAGTTCTAGCAAAATAGTTATGATTTTTGTCGACTAGTACATTGGAATTGGCCGAAAATAGGGCTCAAAGTGGGCAAAATCGCCGATGTGTAAACACTGTCGAGACCGCTAACTTCGTGAGAGCATAATTCCGTAAGTTTTCCATCAAATTTCATACTTTTGGTGTCATTATGATCGGGAAAAGATTCTCTATCTTTTCATAAGAAAAAAATAATTTTTTTTTTTTTAAATTTGGCCGACCCTGACAATGAGTCTCGGAGAGGGCCTGTCGACCCTCAAAGGGTTAAATACTGCTTTAACTTCAGTAATGTTGATATTCATAAGGAAAAACTAGTGAGATGATTTTGAACAAAATTCTAGAGTTGGTTTTTAATTTTGGGCTTATACTCCTACCCAAACTAAACTAAAGGCATTGCAAAAGAAAAAAATGCATAGTCAAATATAGTCACATTTTTACAAAGTTGAGTATAATACATACCAGCATTTGCAGATGGTGGCTGAGCACCTCCCAGACCAATTCCTATACCTCCCAGACCCCCTCCTGAGTACAGTAGGGAAGTTGTAGGCTGTGAAACAGTACCAGAAGGATCTGTACAAAATAATATAAAGATCATTATTATGTAATACGTACTGCAAAATGCACAGTAAAAGTTCTTCACCAGCTCATAAAAAGCTTGTAACACAAAATATGAATACAAAATTTGCTCAGCTCATTAACCCTTTCAGGGTCCAAGGCCCAAATCTGGAGTCACGCACCAGGTCCAAGATATTTCAAAAAAAAAAATTTGTTATTTTTTCTTATGAAATCGTAGAGATGAATTTTTTGTAAAGGGTAATAAAAAAAAAAAGTACGAAAATTGGTGGAAAATTGACGAAATTATGCTCTCGCGAATTTTGATGTGTCAGCGATATTTTACGAATCGGCAAATTTTGGCCGACTTTGACCCCCATTTTAGGCCATTTACATTATTCCAATCAACCAAATTCTTAGCTATTTCACTAGTATTACTTCTTATTCTATCGATTGAGCACAAGAAAATCGCCAAGTCAACTGTTTTCAACTACAAAAATAAAGTGATCGGAAATTGTTAATTTGGCCAATTTAACACAAAGTTCAAAATATTCCAATTTCAAATAGGGTCCAGAATGAACAATGTAGGCATTCCTGGCACTAAACTAACATTTCCTCTGTTCATTAGTTATTTTTTGAGGCTTTACAAATAAATTCCTTTTTGATTTTTTTTCACATAATGAATTTTTATTCACACCAAAAAAATAGAAGATTTACTGTTATGCAATACTGTAAAAAATTGTATAAATATCATCACCATATTTTGTGAATGTATATTAGACCCACCAGCTGATGTGTATTAGACGTGTGAGGTCGTTTGTTTACTCTTGAATATCGGAAAAAATTTAACATTTCCGCTACTTTGAGCTCAGTTTCAAGCCATTTCCAATGCTAAAACCAATCAAAATCATCTCTATTTGTAAATATGTCTTCCATTCTATCAAATGGGGACCAAGAAATCGCAAATACAACCCTATAAAAAACATACGGAAAAAAACTGCAAAGTTGCTGTTTTAATCGAAAAATCATGATTTCAATTTTTTTCTCTCATTATGCACAGTGTGCTGCAGGATCTGTTTTATGTGGTGCACACATACCACATAGATGTATTCTCTCATATCTAGGCCCAAATGTACCACTCACAGTTTATCAGAGTGAGCTGGCTCATGGCGTAGATCTACGGTTTGGACCTGAACGTAAAGCCGTAGATCTACGGGACGGACCCTGAAAGGGTTAAGGAAAGTGCACTAACACTTAAATGAAATAAAAAACTGCATAACAACACAGTGCATATTATACAAATTTATTGTTGGTACATTCCAATAGTTTAACTAAATTTATATTAAAGATTCATTATGTTTAATTCTCCAAATGACATACTGTATTATATATATTTATTTTTTTAGTATTTAAATCTGTAATTATGTTCAGTTACCCTTTGTTTACTGCTCATTATATATATTAACAATGTGTTATATACATTAACCCTTTGACTGTCGCGGTCGTATATGTACGTCATAGGAGATACTGTGTTTGACGTATCTATACGCATAAATTCTAGCGGCTTCAAATCAGCAGGGAGAAAGCTGGTAGGCCCACATGTGAGAGAATGGGTCTCCATGGTCAGTATGCACCATTAAAAAAAATCGGGGAAGCCAGTGGTGCATTGTGGGAATTCCATTTCAGTCGTCCTTTTTCAGCATGTCTACGGTAAGAAATATGTGACTTCCCTGTAAATCTGGGACTCTTCTCTTCCCAAGTGATGCTCTAACACAGAGGGAAGAGTCAATGAAGATCAATTTCATGATTTCGAGGAGTTTGAGACCAAAGCAATGGAGGAGGGGGAGGAAGAAGAGGAGGAGGAAGAGGAGGAGGAGGAAGAGGAGGAGGAAGAAGAGGAGGAGGAAGGAAGGGGAAAGGAAAGGGGAAGGAGGGAGGAGGAGGAAGGAGGGGGAGGAGGAAGGGGGAGGGGGAAGAAGGAGGGAGGAGGAAGAAGGAGGGAGGAGGAAGAAGGAGGGAGGAGGAGGAAGGAGGGAGGGAGGAAGAAGGAGGGAGGAGGGAGGAAGGAGGGAGGGAGGAGGGAGGGAGGAGGAGGAAGGTGGAAGGGGGGGAAGAAGAAGAAGAAGAAAAAGAAGAAGAGAAGAAGAAGAAGAAGAAGAAGAAGAAGAAGAAGAAGAAAAAGAAGAAGAAGAATAAGAATAAAATAATCCCTAATACCTAATAATAATAATATGTAATAATATTTTTCCCTTGAGGCATGAAAACAGTTCCCCCCATGACAGTGACAAGATAAGGGGAGATAACATCTGATAAGAGCTGACTTTGATGAGCGTAAACGAGGGTGGAGGGGGGGGAGGCAGCTGCCCATCTGTCAAGAGCCAGGAGGAGGAGGAGGAGGGAGGAGGAGGGGAGGAGGGGGGAAGGAGAAGGGAAGGAAGAGAAGGAGGGAAGGAGAAGGAGGAGGAGGAGGAGGGAGGGGAGGAGGGGAGGAGGAGGGGGGAGAGGAAAAGGGACGACGAAAACCCATTTGTTGCGTTATTTGTCTGTTGCAAAACTCCTGTCTACCCATCTAGCTCTGTCTCAAAAGGAGCCACCAAGACTGTGTCATCATCACATTTAATCATCTTCAAGCAGAGTATAGCACTTTGTCTGGATTTTTTGGGTTATCCTAGGTAATTTACACTATGTTATAGTTGTATTTATGTGTACCTGTGAGACAAGAGATAGACAGGAGAGAGAGAAGAGAGACAGATTTAAAGAGATGAAGAGGGAGAAGATAATTGATAGAATGGAGGGGGAAGCAGCAAACGACCCCAATTTTTTTGACAGGCGGTAGGGGGGTGATAATGAGACAAAATGTCATTTTGACAGCTGCAGACTCCTGACTCAAAACAATTATAAGCCACACACTGCACACAAGACAAGCTTGCTGAAGGGTGATAATAGGAGTTTTATGAAAGTATCTAGTGACTATATATGTGATATTTATTTAGAAACCGAAGCAAGAAGGGGAAGGCAGGAATGAAGGAAGGACTAGATGAAAGGAAGGAAAAAGTAATGAAGGGACAGAGAGGAAAGTAGGAAGAGAGGTGGAAAGCCCTCCCGGTAGCCTCCAGTAGGAAAGGATGAAGGAAATTAGGAAGGAATGATGACACACGACCATTACCTAGGATAACTACATAACCCCACTGCCGCTAATACTTGAAGAAAGACTGGTCGACGAGGTGTTTTGTCTTTGCACATAAAAAAAAAATTCAAACAAAAATGCACCCCACACTGATTTATGTGTGAGAGTGTAAAACACCATTGTGTATGACACCATGTTTTATGTGTGAGAGTGTAAAACACCATTGTGTATGACACCCTGTTTTATGTGTGAGAGTGTAAAACACCATTGTGTATGACACCATGTTTTATGTGTGAGAGTGTTAAACACCACTGTGTATGACAAAACCCTGTTTTATGTGTGAGAGTGTAAAACACCACTGGTATGACACCATGTTTTATATGTGAGGAGGTGTAAAAAAACCACTGTGTATGACACCCTGTTTTATGTGTGAGAGTGTAAAACACCCCTGTGTATGACACCATGTTTTATGTGTGAGAGTGTTTAAAACACCACTGTGTATGAAAACCATGTTTTATGTGTGAGAGTGTAAAACACCACTGTGTATGACACCATGTTTTATGTGGGGAGAGTGTAAAACACCACTGTGTATGACACCATGTTTTATGTGTGAGAGTGTAAAACACCCCTGTGTATGACACCATGTTTTTTGTGTGAGGTGTAAAACACCACTGTGTATGACACCATGTTTTTTTGTGTGAGAGTGTAAAACACCACTGTGTATGACCCCCAGTTTTATGTGTGAGAGTGTTCTAAAACACCACTGTGTATGACACCATGTTTCACAGAGTTCCACAAGGTGCAGAACTTCTTGGAGTATTTTTCAGTGCTGTATATTGGTATTATATTATTTGAACCCAAAAGTAATAAACAATTTTTTGTATTGTTTGTTTTTGTAAAACATGTTTTGTAAAAATATATTGATAATTATGTTTGTGTGCTTATTGTGTTGTATCAACGAGTGTATATATGTACATTGCACCTTACTTTGGTCTCACAGGCCACATAAGTTATGTGAAAAAATAAAATAGTGAAAAAAGCAACAACCTTCAAATACAAGTAAACTAAAGTTTACCGGGTGAGCGGGGAGTCGCCGCTGTTGCCATACGCGGCTCATTTTCTGCAAAAAATTCATGCCTCTTATATCTCGGTTTAAGTACTGATGGGAAAAATTTTTTGGGGGGACTAAAACAATCAGAAAAAATAATCTTTAAAATTTTCATAAGAAAAAATAATTTTTTTTTTTTCGAATATTTTGCGACACCAGGAGGGCACTTCAGGATTGGGCCTTTCGGGCAGTCAAAGGGTTAAAAAAAATTGCTCATGCTGTATTAGTAATATTGTTCCTAGATAAAGTCTTCCTGGGAAAGCTTTCTACAATTATGGACTTTTTCTATGTGAGGGATAAGCTGTTAATCTTTGTAATACTAATACATATATCATGTGAGAAAAATATATATTGCAGTAATATATTAACTGTATGACACAGAGTTAACTTACTACCAAAGCCAAATGTTGTTTGTTTTGATGTCTGTACACCACCCAATCCACCACCAAGAGAAAATCCAGTGGATGATGAAACAGTTGGTGCTCCACCTAATGAAAACCCAGATGTTGATGGTGTACTGCCCAATCCTCCCAGAGAAAATCCGTGCTAGCAGAGGTAGCTGGAGCAAGGGTTGCACCACCAAGCGTAAAACCCGTAGATGAACCCAGAGCTGGTGTGGTGCTCAGGCCAAACCCACTGGAACTTGTGGCTGCTTCAGAAACAAAACCATCAGAAAATTAGCTTATTAGCTGAAACATGAACTAACATTAGTAACCACTGTTACCTACCATTCTGCTTTCCTTTTAATCACAGGCCCCAATACATCTCGTTTTGTTTTTTTTT